TCAGAGAAGAGATTTGGCCCATTAGTCTTGCCTCCATCAGTGACGAGCAGTGGACACCCGAGAAGGAGCATAAGGAACCTTGAGACAGCCATGGAGAGATGTTTCCCATAACTCTGTGACATTCCAGAAATGGGCAGTTTATGGACCTCCAGAGCTAAAGGAAAGCAGCAGGGAGAGAGATGGGGGATATGTATGCATGCCCATGGAGGGATATGGCTGATGAACATTCAGAGACACATTTCCATGCTCTCTTTTCCTTTTTAAACAGTCTTTTGTGCCAAGGAATGAAGAAGGTGCTTTTTTTTTTTTTTTTTTTTTTTTTTGACATGGGCACTCTACAGCCTCTTCCAGACTAAACTCTGTTAGATGATAGCATGGGATTCATGGGGCTTTGTCTGCACAAGCAGGTAGTTCTTCCCTCCCACTCACTTCCCAGGCTGCAAAGAGAATCAGCCTGTGGAATGGAAAGACAAGGATACAATTATTTTTGGAGAAGAGCAATAAGAAGGGAGTATTTTAGTATTTTAAAATGTGTTTTATCTTTTATCTTAATAATTGTGCCTTATAACATTTATCTGCTCACCCTCCATGTGCTTTGCATGACCCTGAATGACAGATAGGACTGGAGGGCTAAGTATGGCATTGGAAATTTAGTGAAGACAGAGCAGACTTTGCCAAAAGGAAATTTGAGAAGAATAAGGACTGAAAGAGCAGCCAGGGGTGACTCTGATGTACAAAAATACATTTATTTTCAACAATTTCAAAACCACTGCCTTTTTTACAGTAGAAATATTCAAATGGAACAATAAAACCAAGAACAGTATCTATATATGTATATAAATGACTCATGCATTTGTATTACTGTGTATCATATTACAAGTATTGCAATTGTCTGCCTCATTTAATCCTTTAAAACCATGTGGTGGTTTGGGTTTAATGCACTGTCCGACTTAATCAGAAGGAATATGAGGATTCTGGTTTGGTTTGTCAGACCTGGAATGTATGTGGGAACTGAATGAATGGAAAGGGAGGAGAACAGGACATCTTTGCACATCCCTGAAACCAAAGCTTAGTCTGGAAGAAAATGCACACTCTCCTGCATATGCTCTTATTGATGGCAAACTAAAAAACTGCCGTCCCCAGTCCCTCTGGGCTTAGTGTTGGGGTTTTCAAGCACAGGTCAAACTAGGCAGAGGATCTATTGGGTGTTTACATCAGTTTGACAGACATACAGAGCCAAAAGCTGCAGCTAGTCTCCAGGTCTCATGTATCATTTCTAAATTACAGTTAACACAGTAGAATCCACATGCTGGCAGTGATAGAGTGCACTGACCCAGTCTCTTTCTCTCTCTTCCTCTTCATACATAACTACAGTGTGGGAGCTATTTACCTTCAACTCATGGCGCTGGCTCTTTTCCTCCTTACCCAGGTAAATAATGACCTACAGGTTCAAGGATTTCCATTTCAATTTCCTCAGGGTAAAACTTGCAGGGGAAAAGACCCTACTGACATCCCCAAGTTGCTATTTCCCAGTATGACATATACAAATAAAAGTGGCCAGTACTGCAGTCCATGCTAACACTGCAGCTCAGTACCTTCCCAAAAAGACGGACAGTGTTGGTTGCCCAATCTAAACCTTACAGAGGTCCCATGGCTAGATACGGCCCTGGGTATCCCAGTGGGACACAGTAGTTACCATTCAAGTATCCTGAAGGAAGAGCTTTCAGTCATGAACGCAAGCTTTTTTCAGGTGCCATCAGCCATAGCTGTGCCCTAATGCAGCAGGTATGGTCTGGCAAATGTGGTCCCATGTACACCCTATGGAGCTCATTCCAGATGTGCATGGAGCACACTGGTCCAGACAGCAGCGTGACAAACTAGCCGGAGAGGTAGGGATACCCAATGAGTCTCATGGAACATGAAATCTGAGCCAACTCCAGAATCAGGGAGGTTTTTCTGATATTTAATTTTGGCTCCATGGATTTTTATTGTTTGCTTTGCAGTGCCTTTAGGATAATTTTGGAATGAAGATGGTTTTTTGGATAGATGTTTATCCAAAAATTAACTGTATCATCAGAAATTTCTCAGCCTTCATTGAGACTAAATTTCTTTTTGAGAAGTTAAAATGTTTCCATTTTTTTCAGCAGCTTACTCCCAATTTTTCTTCCTTGCTTCCTCCCATCTGAGATATTTAACAGCCATCTTTAAGAGTGTAAAGGGAAAAATTGGGAAAAAATTGTAAAAACTTGTGAAAATAAATTGGGAGAACTGTAATCCTCTGCCTTTCTTTTTTAAATCAACATGAGATCAATTCCATGAAAAACCTACAAAACTCCAAACAACAATGAACATTTTCACTTCGTTTCCTGGTTTATAGAAGAAAAAGTTAATATGGAAAATAATGAGTATTTCACACTCAGTCCTCTGCAGCAGCTCACAAAAGCAGTCCCTCAATTTCTAATGATCAGCAAAGACTGATATCAGCCCACAATTTAGCTGAAGGCCCACAAGCCCATTTTTTATGTACGTCCCTCTCATCTACACCTAAATGGGAAGCTACGGCCTTGTGCTAACAGTGTTATCACCAGACTGAGCCACTACCGTAAACTGCTTTGGTGTTTCAGTAGAACAGAGACAGTAATGCAACAGTTTATGCACATGTGATGGATGGAAACTCAGGGTTAAATGAAATAACACAGCCATCACTCTCCAGGTTATATTAGGAACCAGATCAGAAACGTGAAGGAGGAAATAGAAAAGAATTATCTTTAAATCAAGAGAAAAGGCCCACAAGCCTGACTGAAATGGAGGAGAGGAAGAATATTTAGTTCGGTACTTCACACAAAACAG